AGGAAAGCATTCTATTATATACACTTAATTCTTTTTCTTGTGTATTGAGATAATGAGTGATATAGACAGTGTATTTATATTATTTAAAAATAACCTTGATATAAATAGGCAATTATTATAAAGTAAATTGTTGAACATCAGGACACAAGCCAAAGTAATAAAGCCTTAATTTACACATTTTTGGAGAAACTGGAATATTCTTTAAAATTTTGTATTATTTAAGAAGTTATGTGATCAGTTCATTGTCAATCAACTTAATGTATATTTAACAAAAAATATATTATAATGATTTTTTTATGACAAAGGTTTTCCGATACTTTCAATAATCGTTCATTTAATTAAAAAATTTCTCTTTCTTTTTGATATTTAATTACAAAATTTCATTATATTAGTTGGAGTACAAGCGTCGATTCATGCTCGTTAATTTGTCATATTTCTTATGTACATGTGTGTATTATTATTGTACTAAAATGATTAATATATATATATATAGAAGGTAATAATTATTATTATAAAATTATGTTTATCTACAAGATAGTGTAGTGTTTAAATGACGTTCCTTTTAATATGTATTTAGACAGTTGACCGAAAAAATTTTTAAAGAATTTTAAATACTATCATTTCTTAAACATTTATTGTTTTTTGAAAATTAGCTACTGGACAGGTCTAAATTTAAACTATCATAAACATTATTTTAAATTAATAATTTAAATTCATATAAATTCATCACGATGTAATAAAAACTGAAGTGTTGGTCATTTCTCATATATTGTAGTATATTATTAAGTTATTGACACTACTTGACATTTTTCAATAATACTTTGCAAATGTAAAATATATTATGATGAGTTTTTTATTTAATAGATAAATTACTAGTCAGATAAAATAAATTTGTTGTTTAATATTATAGAATATTATAGTAAAATGTATACTTAAGTATAAATGATAATAAATACATACACATACGCATATATCCCATCAATATATATATATATATATATATATATATATAATCATAAAATTAAATTAAGCAAATAGCAAGAATCTTTTATAATATTCCTTTTCCTTTATTTATGGATAAATCATAAGTAATTCTATAGTTTTAGTATATGAAAAGTAAAAATCTGTTTCCCTGCGATTATCCGTTGACGCCAGTAAGAACAAAACATTCATACATTTGTATCTTTAATATAAAATTAATTTGAATAATCATTAATTTTTCATTGTAATGTATCATGCAAGGCTTATTGAAAATCTATATAAAACTAATTTTTAGAAGTGAAAATTATTAAAAACTTATCTATTACCTCTTCAATCCTATAACAAATAAATAAAACCCTGTTTTTTAATTCAAAATAATTTTGAATTGCTTATTATTTTTATTTTATTTTTATAATTTTATTTTATTCAAGCGCGTTATTGATTTACACATGAAAATATGTAAATGCATAAACTCTGATCGATTTTTTTTTTAATATATTTTAGATATATTATACACTTTTAGTGATTTCTAATAAAAGCACTTGGTTTATAAAAATGCAGAACGTAATATATCGAAATATACTTTATGAAAATATCTTAATATTATTATATACATTAAAATATTTATGATTTTAAAATTAAATAAGACGTAACAAGTTTTTCAACATAATATTTTGCATTTTTATATATTTTCATTGGTTAGTATTTGTATAAAAGGCTTTATTTATAAAATAGAGCATTAAGAAATAGGTAAAAGAATCAATATGCTGGTATATAAAGAAAGTTTGTAAACCGAGATATATGCAAGTGATCATTTATCGAATTTTGCAAATCTCTTGCTTGTGCTTCATTTCTTATAAATTTCATGTTATCTGACCTAAACTTCAAATATAAAAAAAAAAAAAAAAAAATTGATTCATTTATTATGACATCAGAGTAGAACGATAACATTTTTTTAATTTAAGTTAGAAAAATTAATTTTGTAATTCCATAAAAGTGATTTACTTTTCGTTATAGATTGGGATAAGAATCATCCGATGTAACATATCGTAATAGAAATCTTGTCAGTCATATTTATCATCTTATGATTGATACGTTGAATTGCTTTTTATGTATAAGAAATCGTTTATAGTGTTTATCTATTAGAGTAGATTTATGTTTTGTAAATTTTCAATTCGTATTTAAACGATGGATAGTGTTGTTCATAATATTATAAATTAAATAAATATACGTATATGAAGAATAAGAAAAAGTTAGAGCTAATTACTCTATCAACCGTTTAATAATTAATGTAGACTTCTGAGTTGGTTCTTCGAGACTATGCTATTCATATGTATATATTAATCACATTATAATAAAATTTCGCTATGAAGAATTTTTTTAAAGTATCGAACTTGTATCAATATTTTATTTTAAAACGAAAGAATTACTATTCATTTCAGCAATGTAAATGTATTCGCTATTCCATAGTTTAGTTTTAAAATTTCGTATAATTTAATTTATAATGGTGTGATTACTATGTGATAAATAATTATATTGTTTAAGGAAGAAACGGTATAAGTGAACTTTTTTTTTCTCTTTATAAGTTTTTAAAATATTAGCAAATATATTTTAATTACATAATGTACACAAAATTTTGTTAGATAAATTAATCTGTTATTCATAATATTATATAATTCAGTGATGAATTTTATATTAATATTAAATTATCATTGCTACTTTTTTTTTGGATTAATAATTAACTATTTGATTTTCAATGAAAGTGATTGAAATTTTCTAATTAAAAGACGCTACCTATTGTATTCAATTATTATTTTATAACGAATCAACGAATACTAGATGCATGTTAGTGTATTGAAAAATATACTGATCACTAAACACCTCATTCAATTAATTTATAAAAATAATTATGATTATAAAATTTAGTTAGCTATTAGTAGTAAATTTTTTCATTTTAATCATACAAAAAAATTATTTTATTATAAATATTTTATAAAGCAATGATTAAGAAATAATATTGCTTACGTAAATATTGTTAAACTGTAATTATAAGCTGAACTTTGTTAAAAAAAAAAATGCAAACCTATTGCTTAAATATTTTATATAATTGAGGTAAATTTAACGATAATGATACAATGGAGATTTATACAATGCACTTAATACGTATAATGATAATGGTGTAACGTAGCTTCAGAAGCATTCTTTGATCGCGAATTGAATAACAGGCTTTGGTTTTATTTACTGGCAATTTGAGTCGCTATTCGCCAATGAGGAAGGGGGCGTGATAGGGGTAATGCGCACGACAAAAATGATAATGATAACTGATTACTGCCAATGTAAAGTAATATGTCTTTTATTTTAAATAAAATAATTACGAAAGTCTTTTAGATGCCTTTGTTTGTGACCTTTACCAAAAAAGTTTTAATGACTATTTATTGTAACAACCTGCATTTTATTATAACTTATTATTTTGATATTTTATAATCAGTTTTAATCTCGTTTTAACGGCTCTAGGATATCAACTATTTTTAATTTACTTTTGATGTTATATTCACGCGGCTTATGGATGATTACCGAATTAATTTAAAATAATACCACAGAAATAAACCGTTAGATACTTTGTACTTAATTGTCATATTTACGCATTATTATTTATATTATAGATACTGAAAAATTAATTTCTTATTATTATAAAAGACTTTTATGATAAGGAACTATTTGAATATAAATATGATAATAAATGTAAAATGTTTATATATTTTGATGATATATAGTTTTTAATACAACAATAAATTCAGTAAGTTGTATGCTTACTGATTTTATCGGATTTAAACATTTAAACTCGAACGCTTATTCTAAATTTTGATATTTCTTTAAGTACTTGATCGTGCTGTTAGTTATATTAAAATAATTATATTATGGATTAAAAATACCATACAAAGGAAGGTTTTTTTATTGTGTAATAAACTGTTTTCGAAAAGTGAAGAATACTTTGCAGACCCAAAGAATAAAGTGATTCTTATGGATTTAGATGACTAACTGATAATAATGAAATATTTGTGGTAATTAAAAATGACTGAAATAAATTAGCGTTTTGATATTATTGATAATTATTTTATCGGAAAAAGAGGTAATCAGTGATAAATTTGTATAGTTATTATAGTATCATGTAATTATTATAATATATTTAATTATTTAACATTATTATATCGTTAATACTTATAATCAATTGAAACAAATTAAATACTCATAAAAATGCAAATAATCTGTATAAATTTTTATATATTTTTATAAAACTAGTATATAATTTAGAATCTTTGATTTTTATATCTGAAAAGCGAACATTTATCTGAAGTTTTCTAAATAATAAAATAATTTATTATATATAGATTCTTATATTTAACAAAATAGCTAATCAAACAATTAATTTTGTGATATATCGAAGTATTTTAAATTTGAAATAGCGAAAAAAAATATATTTATGCATTAAAAAATAATTAATTTTCTTATTAAAATTTTTAATTTACAAATATGTACACACTGTAACAAATAATAATGTATAACAAAACGAGAGAAAATAAGCTAATAAATGATAATGTTTTTAACATTTTATTAATTACATGTAATTAATATTTTACATTTGTTTTTGACATAATTTAGATATTTTTCTTTCTATAATATATATGTTAAATTATGAATATAATTTAAAAATTCACATTAATTCATAATGATGTAGTTCATTAAATCTTTTGTGATTAGACGCCAGACAAGTTACTATATTTTGATTCGGCAATATTTGTAACAATGATTTGCGTTTTACAGACAAATGCATAGTCTAATTTATAAATAGTTTATTTTAATTTTTAGCAAATTTTAAATATTTATATTTGAGGATTTATTCTTATTTTTTAATCTCATGTGGTTAAAATGGCCTATTTTCAATTTATCATTTGTAAATACGTAACGTTAGATGTACAGTTAAATTAAAAATTTTAAATTTGAAATATAATACGTATTCGAGTATCCGTTGAGTAGAATGTTTAAGAAATTCATTAATTGGCAATAAATTTAATAACGTCGCCTATTGTTTATGTAATATAAAAAGAAAGAAATATATATATATATATATATATATATACATATTTATAAATGAAATATGCACATCGAATATGATTACTCAGAACATCCGATCATATTATTATCGACAGATTGAACAGAGAGAAAGGGTAAGGAGAGATAGAATGTACGTGGGTGGGAGCAAGGGAGCGAGGAAGATGGTGCGGGCAGATGGGAGAGGGAAAGTCATTTACGAATTTATTGGAAGTGGAGTTAGTGAAATCGGTATATTGTTGTGGCCTTAAGGAAATAAAAACATTTATCCTTAGTATTGAATTTTTCAAAAATAGTATTCTCACAATAGAAAATTTAGATGTCGAGATTCTTATGAAAGATCGAAGGGTTCATATGCTTTCTAGAAAGGTAACCAATTGTTATTTTTGAGGTTAGAGTGTTGTTATTAACCTCTCCTCTATAAATATATGGGGAGTATGTGACAGCGCGATTCTTTTGAGTATTCCTGGTGCAGAGTGCAAAGTGTTTTTGACGTTTGCACGGGCGAAAGCAGCAAGTGAGAAAGCGAAAGAAGAAGGAAGTGAAGTAAAACGAAGAGAGGACGCTGCAGGACGCCATGATGGTAGGTGGAACCTGTTATCATTCGGTTAGCAGCCGGTCATCTGGCCTTTTAACGAATTGACCGGAAAGCTCTCTCGAATGATAGTTTGCGCTATTTCTTTAGCCTCGGTCTCGCATATAAAGTGTAAAAAATGTTGCAGGACGGAATATGTGATACCACTGATATCATCAATAATTTATCAACGAAGAAAGTACGTTTTTAATATTATGTACATCATTTTGTTTAATTGCTTTAACATTTAATTTATTTTCTTTCTAATGACGTCTATGAGATACTGCAAGGTGTTACATGTATGTATTGTTTGTATTTACATTGCAGACGATTTCAAATGAATCTTCATTGGAAAATAATGATAAAGCACTCCAAATTGACATCTCAGATGCACTTAGTGAAAAAGATAAGGTTAAATTTACTGTACATACAAAGACAACATTACCAGATTTCCAAAAATCAGAATTCCTAGTAGTCAGACAACACGAAGAGTTTGTTTGGTTACATGATCGATTTGAGGAGAACGAAGAATATGCTGGTTATATTGTACGTCGAGTATTATTATAGACTCCGTTGTAACATAAAAAATAGAAAGTATTATTTTTAAATTCAAAAATTCATTGCAGATACCTCCATGCCCACCAAGGCCTGATTTTGATGCTTCACGAGAAAAATTATTGAAGCTCGGCGAAGGTGAAGGTAGCATGACACGTGAAGAGTTTATGAAAATGAAACAAGAATTAGAAGCGTAAGTATTTAAAATTTGTTTGTTATAATAACGGGCATTACAAATTTGTATATGAATTTAATTTTTTAGTGAATATTTGGCTACGTTTAAAAAAACAGTTGCTATGCACGAAATGTTTTTAACACGCCTTGCACATCATCCAGTGTTTAGAAATGATCACAATCTTAGAGTTTTTTTAGAGTATGATCAAGATCTTTGTGTGAGAGGTTAGTTGTAGTTTCTGTAATATTTAGACATTTAATACTAACTATTTTAAATATTAAAATTTTATCTATCCTTTATAAATCCTATAAGTAATATAAATTTTTATTTTTAAATGTACATTCATAGATGTTTTTTATTCTTTACATAATGTTATAACTACATCTAGGAGTTTTCGCTTTATTATCTTTATTCGTTTTATATTCTATGGTTAATTTTTATTTTGAAAATGAAAATATCTATTTAATTATTATTTAAAATATTTCATATATTAACTGATTTAAATATTGTTTTTATATTTTAATTAATGATTAATTTTATATTTTATTTTTTATATACAGGCAAAAATAAAATGGAAATGTTTGGTGGATTGATGAAATCTTTTTCTAAAACAAAAGACGAGTACTACTTATCTGCGACAGTAAAAGATGTAAATGACTTCTTTGATCAAGAAATGACATTCCTTACACAATATCATCACAATTTAAAAGAAGCTACGAGTCGTGCTGATCGTCAAACTGCAAAGCACAGAGAGGTAGCTGATTCATACATTAAGATTTCTTCTAATCTCTTACAATTAGCGACTACAGATACGGGCAAACTTGAAAAAATGTTGACTAAAATCGCTGAAACATTCGAAAAACTGAGGGTAAATATTTATTTTATTTCATTATGTTTTATCGCTTAGATTTTTGTATAATTTTTTTTTTTATAGAAATGATGTAAATTATTTTCTAGAAACTAGAAGCTCGTGTTGCATCCGATGAAGATTTAAAATTGTCCGATACTTTACGTTATTACAAGAGGGATACATCAGCTGGAAAAAGGCTATTGATTAGAAGGCTAAAAGCATTACATACGTATGAAACTGCAAATAGAGCTTTGGAAAAAGCACGTGTCAAAAATAAGGATGTACATGCTGTAAGTATTCTTTTCCTTTTGTAATGATATTGAACATTTTTTACTATCTCGAAAAAAATAGAACTTCAATAATTTAAAAAATGTTGAAATTATAAATAATATTAACAAAAATAATCATTACAGTTTGTAATAATGACTAATTACATTTTTCTTGCTCTTAAAGGCATTGGAGGTTGCAGAGGTGTGTTTTTATATAAAATATAAAATAATTGTTGTGCAAAGAATCATTTTTATATTTATTATATACTAATTTTCATATGCTTAGTTACATTTATTTTTCATATATATATATATATATATATATATCGATATATTATAAATTTTGTTAAAGATTGATTTTTATTTTTTTATTAAATATTTATATATATTTAATTACTTGAGCATGTAATATGATTTCTTGCATGTTATGTGTTTATATTTGAGATGAAACATTATTCCTTGAATATGTGTATGAGATAAATAAAATTGTAAATTCAGAAATGATTTATCAAATTTTATTAATATATTATCAATGTTTTAAATCTTAGGCAGAGCAGGCACAGACTGAGGCATGTTCGAAATTTGAACAAATGTCAGAAAAAGGAAAAGAAGGTATTTAAGTACATGATATTTAATTTAATTTTTATATGTTAAAATTAATTTAATTCTGTATATTTATTTTTTCCTCGTATGTAGAACTTACTAATTTTAAAACAAGACGAGTAGCTGCCTTTAAAAAGAATCTTATTGAGCTTACAGAATTTGAAATAAAACATGCCAAGGTATAAATCAATAAAATAAAGAGCAATTTTTTATTCTTGAGTTCAATGCATTTATGTATTTTCATTTTTTATTTTAGGGCCATGCAGAAATACTGAATAAATGCTTAGCGGCCCTTCAAAATGAATGATTTAAAGATATTAATTTACTATCTTCAACGACATATTACAAGTAAATTGATTAATACGCAAGTAATGATGTATTTAAAGATTATAATATCATTATATTGTAAAATATATATTTTTTGTTATTCTAAGCCGCATTAGCGTGCTAATTAAAAGATTAAGTAATGAGAAAGCTAAGATAATTAACTACATCGAATGATTGTATTATGGGCGAATGAATTTTCTATATTGTTTTTCAAGCTATAAAAGGCTTCAAAGATTAGACTATTAATTATCATAAATATATCTTTTCCATGTAAAATGGAATTGATATTTACTTTGAATAAAAATTTGTCAAATTTCATCATGTATAGCATTTATGAATCTCCTTAAATACTTTTAAAACTGTATATGTTGTGTTTAAGAACAACCATTCTTTGTATTGTGTAAAAAAAAAAAAAAAAAACGAAAAATAATAAAAATGTATTATAAACATTGTTCCGCTCAGGTAGTGGTAAATCTTAAAAATAATGTGGTCATAAGGGATGTACGCCGTGTACAGTGCGTGTCCGTAGATATAACTAAATTAAGAATGCATAAAATGAATAAGGTTAAGAGAGAGTGGATACGGCGAGAATAATATACTTGAAGATGTAAGTGCGCAATATCAAAGAAATGATCAAGAGCATGCGTTATAGGATTGTATGTAGCAGCATTATTTTTTAAGTTTTGAAGTATTGCAACGGTATCGTATGCGAGGATGATTCGACGCTGCACAAATTGTATGTAAGATGAACAAAATGGCCGTCACAAATAAGATTTTAATTAATTGAAAGTGCTGCTGGCTGGTGAAGAATGAGATATGAGTGAAGAATGCGTGTAGTTGCTTGCCATCAGCTTGATATTTAGCATTCGTTATTTTGATGGTGAGGTAGTAAAATCGGAGGTGTTCATCTACGAAAAGAAAATACTGGATGGAAAGTTGATCTGTTATATCGGAAACCGATATTAAGAGTGTAAATATCATTTGCAGTTATGATTTCTTTTTTATTAAATTAGAAAGTCGCGGGCTCAGAGAGATGGAAAGAAAGTGTGTGTGTGTGCGCGCGCGTGTCATGTGCGAGGGAGTGAGAGAGAGAGAGAGAAAATAGTCTCCGGAGACACAGAATAAGGTTATCGCGGTCGGTAAACTCGGGAACAGCGCTTCTGGAACCTTCTCCGTCATATTGAAGAATAACAACTAATTTCTCGTCACGCACGTGCACGTGTCTGAATGAGTATGCGTATGTATGCATATTTATGCATATACGGTGGTGCATGCATGCATATGCACACAGGTATATACAAGCTCAAGTGCACATGCATCGGTATTCTTGTATTTATATTATTAATGTTTCAATTGACACTATACAATAAAAAGATTAATTTCAAATTTGTATTTGAGATTATTTATTATATAAAAAAGTTTGTTTATTATTGTAAAAGTTACGTGGCTTGAAGAAATTTCTAAAATATTAGAAACAATGTATGGAAATTCACATAATATAATATTATCAAAATTAGTGGATAAATAAGAAAACTGTTAGCTCAAATTTTCTCAATTGGCATAATTTTATTGAATGGAGTCAGTCGCTATAATACAACATTGTATACACATACTGAGAAATTATTGAAGTTGTAAATATTATGAATTATTTAAGTTGTGAAAGCCCACCATAATGTAATCGTGATACTTCATATTAATTTAAAAAATTTAATTATTAAAATTCTCTTTTATATTTCGTCGATTCGTATATTGCTGCGCGCATTTGTTCTTAAATTTTGGCACTTCGATTCATTCGATTTGTCGTGGAATAACTTTTTTTATTCATATAAATTCTCCTAAACAGAGCTTTCAACATTATCCATATTTATATAATCTGTTAATTTTCGATTCTAACCATACCAAAAATATATATTTATAAAAATATTTATAAAAATATTTAAAACTATATAAAAATATTTATAAAAATATATATATATATTTTATCAATTTCAGTTACTATATCTTTTTCACTTCACTATTCCTAATTAATCGTTCCTTTTTTTTCTTTTAATCTAATACATGAAAATTGATATTGTACATTATATAAAATTAAATAAAATATATAAAATTTAAATTAATATATAAAGATTTATGACTTTATAAATAATCGTGGGCATGTTCGAAATCACTAGCAGGGAAAATGTAAAAGTGATTACGAAGTTATGTTTCATTAATACGAAAAGATGAAACTGGCCAGCATATTAATAATAAAATTTTCTTTAGATTTGTTGAATTTGTAGTTTCAAATTGTTTATTTTCAACACATATCCATATATATGCGAAGAAATATTTAAATTTATTAAATTTTTTGGCAAAAACCATCTATGTTTTGACGATCACACTTGTTACGTTTGTGGTCAAACTTCAATTCATAATATAATATATTTAATAATATATTAAAAAATAAAAATCTTTATTATTGGATATAATTATTCGAGTTTTTTCTATAAATTAATTCATTTTTTTCTGTGTACCGAAAACAATGTTGATTTTAATAATTTTTTTTTTTTTTTTTTTTTATAAAATTTATAATCTAAGTAAGAAGAACATATTAACATTTATAACAGAGAAATTTTATACATGTAAAAAATTAAAAGAAAAACACTACAGAAAATGCCTTATAAAAGTAGTCCTCAGAGACGATATAGAAAGGAGAAAACTCGATGAGAAATAAATCGTCGATCTGTTATTAATGGCTGAGTTTGTTTACGCTCTCGTTCTTTCGCGCACAGATGAAAAGATTAGTGATAATATGAGCTATTCTCTAAATAAAATATATAATGCATGAGCATGACGAGTGTGTACTTCTATTACTGTGCCCAGAGAGTGTATGTCGAAGAGGAATTAACTGTTTGCAGAAAGACTCTATATATCTACAGGATATTTAAAAAAACAAATATCTTCTTACTTTATATCGTCCGTTTTTACTTCATTTTCAACTTTCAATGCTTGCATAGTCAATCAACGATTCCAATGACAACTAACATTTTCATTTCAAGTTCATTTTTCTACTACTTACAGTCTTTTTATAAATTATTATGTATTCGTTCTTAACACTTCTTTGCTATTTTCTAAATACTCAACTATTTCCTATTCTTCCGTTTTATTACAGTCTTCTTTACACATATGTTTCTCTATCTTGCATACAACGAATTAAAAATACCTACTTTTTAGGCATATTTGATATGACTCATTTTATTTTATTATACACTTGTTTAATTTTTTAAAGAGTGCGTGTAATTTATAGATCTAAGGAGTGGTTTAAGTATGGTAGTAGAATAAATAATTAAAGCGAACATTACTTTTCAATAGTATATTTATATTCAATTATATTATGAATTATATTCATTGAATAAAATAATTTCAACTTTAAAAATATTTTTAAGTGACATCCTCTTAATATTCAAAGCATTATTTAACATAATTATATTTTTATTTGGAAAGAAATAAATTAATATAATTTCTTATAGTATTTATATTTTTACGATATTTATAATATAAATTATTTATTGTTTCCCGCAATCTGCGTTGACTTGACGATTCGCATTTTCCAAAAAGCAATAAAATTCTGCAGTTTAAACTTCTATCGGTTTAATATTGTTCCAACAATGTTTTCTTTATCCACGATTATTTTTGATGAGCTTGCAGTTACCACGGATAAGTGGATGAATACAAAATATGATATGTCAATTATAATTACAAAAAAAAGAACTTGCATATAATTATCGCTTATTAAAAGTCCATGACTGATTCTATTATTAAAAGGACTAATGATGTCAATGTTATAAACTTTGTAATGCAACAATAATGTTTTTTACTTCAAGCATTTTTTTTTTTTTTTCATAAATAATTAGGTCAATGTAATATTTTTTTGAAATAGCAAAGGGTTTTGTATTTTCTTTATGTATCTGTTAAATTGAACATTGAAACTGTATACTAAAATCAATTAATTTTTCAACCTTCTAATTAATCAAATTGCAATTTTTTCATAAATAATAATTAAAATGTTAGAATAAATTTAATTCATTTAAGTTTCTGACGTAACTTAATTCTATTATTATTTTTAAGTAGTTTATTGTTATTATATCTCATTAAAATTTTATTTGGAATTTAATACTATTTTTTTTCAATTAAATATAGCAATTAATATATATATATATATATATATATATATATCGAAATGTATAAATGATATTAACATTATCAAATTTTTAAAAGTATTAATTTATAAAATCTTTGTAAAGTATAATTTTAAATTACATGTTCATTAAATTTAGAATATGAATCAATTACTGTATTCTCTGTATATCAGAAATTTCTTTAAGTATATAAATGCTACATAGATAATAGGAATTATATTTTATCATATATATATTTGAGCATGTGAATTCTATAAAGACAAAAGTTATTTATAAAAAGTATAATATTCAAATTTAACTTTAAATAAGGATGTGTAATTTTATCAATATATTAATGGATAAATTAAAAAAAAAAAATTAACTCGATTGATTACTTTGTACAAAATGTATACACATATGCATTACATTTATTATGCTATTCTGTAACATATTAATTGATTTATTTAAACAATGAAACAAAAAATTGATTTAGAAAAAGCTAATAAATTCATTTTTAATATAATTGAAACTTGAATTTTTAATGTGTTTAATATAAGCGTTAATTTATTTAATCAACAATTAGATTACACCAAATGATTTATAGTAAATATATTTGTTTATATAAGTAAATAACAGAATTCACTTTTATCAAATTTAGTTATGAAAAAACAGGGACTATGAATCTTTAACATTATGTTCTTTATATTATATATTTTTTCAATATCTTTAATTTTGTATAATTATTTATAAATAATATTTTGGTTTAATAATATTATATTATTAATTATAATTTATTGTATATTATACAAATAATTAAAAAAAATTGTAAAATTTTTAATAAAATATTTTATTGGTCCGTGAAAATATGTCACGATTTCAACAAATGGTTATTTCCATATTTTTATATTAATAAATTTTTTTTTAATTTCTATATTATATATTAATATATATTATATTTAAAATGTTCTTTTATATTATTATCAATATTTTTCAATCAGACATTCATTTGAATATAGAACGTATATAGAACGTAATATAGAACAATATGTACTTGCATATATTACGAATAGCTTACCTTTAATTGTCGATCACAATTAATTTTTGGTTAAAGTAAATCAGGGAATAGAGTAGGGGGTAATAAAGACTTCCAAGTACTAAGGAATCTTGAAAGGTGTATAAAAGATGATAACCAGTTCTCTTTCTTCCTTATCCTCTTTATATATTTACCAACTTTTACTCTTTGTGTCATAAAAACGAAAAAAATGTAGAAGACTTTGTATAATTTAATGAAACAGTGTTACAGCATTATGAAATTAAGTAATTAGAATATTTACATAAATTAAATTATATGAAGCTTTCGGTTCTTTATGCTGGTCAATTGTGCCTATTATACTTTAAAGTGATTAAAAACAGGCAATTGTGTAATCTTTTACAGAATTAATACAAACTATTTTCATACGAGCCTTCGTCACTTGATTTCCGCTCTTACTCTCTCTCTCTCTCTCTCTCTCTCGCGCAACTAAGATTTCCAGTATTGTTTTATCACACATATTCTCTTCTTTTCTTATTTCATATTCATTTTTTTTTCGCACAATGACTTTTATAATTCAAGCTTTATATTAGTCAGCTATTTTTATTGAATAAAACCAATTACCTAACTAAATACGGTTTGTTGTTATTAAAACAGAATTCATATATTATATATAAGATTTATTTATAAGTTTTTGATAGATATAGACGTAAATTTTAATATTGTAAAATAAGTGTTAAAATGAACTCGTTGTATTTTAATGATCTTTATAATTTTGATTTTTAATATGTATGAATGCATTATTTTTTAAGTAATTTTAGTAATATTTCTTACAAATCAAATCAAATGAATAATATTAATAATTAGACGAACTATCGAGTTACATCAAATGTTCATTAAAAAATATGTAAAATATAATTTTTTTTTAGTTTGAAATAAAAATTTCGTAATTAATTAATAATGTAATATATACATAATATTAAATAATTAAATAAATATACAAAAGATTATTAGATAACAATGAAGAATTTATGGCTAGATTTGTATTATTAAAAACTATTCAAAATAAATCTCTATTTATATTGAATATTTGAAACAGAAGTTGGCATCGTGAATGTATTGAATATATTTTTAGACATCGTCTCAAATTGTACAACAATTTTTATAAGAAATAGTTACATAAAATTAATTATAAAATGCTAGAACAAAAATTTTATAATAGAATGTCGACTGTAACTTTATTATTAATTGTATTTTCACATATTGGAATAGCAGTAAATAAAATATTTTGATTTACCAATATAACGCTTTGAAAGTACAGTATATTCAATGTGACAAAAGGAAATTTTAAGAGCAATATATGTGACATTGTGCCTAGCTCGAATCTCTAATAATACCGCATATCGATAGCTGTGCTTTTAAATAGCTGACGCTTTTTCTTTGGCCTATATACTAGAGTATATTTTTGCATTCTTCTATTGCTCTTACACACGTGTTCTTTCTTTCATTTTTTACTGGATGTGCTTGTTTTATTTTTTTCTCTCGCCCCACTTTCCTTCTGTTCTCTTGTTTGTCAATTAGAGTGTGTATGTGCGTATGATACATCATAATGCTTAACGTACACAATTTTCTTGTTCAATCCTCTCACATTTCCCTCGCCCCCTCCCCCTCCCCCACCCCCGCCCCAAAGAAATAAACAAAAAACAAAAAACAATAGTAAAAAAAAAACCAGCCCCGGATACATTGGATAAAAAGGCGCAAAACGCAATATACATAGTCTGAGCGATGGCCAGTAATAATAATGTTGCTCGTATTTAACGAGAATAATTTCAAACAACGTATTTAATCGAGTGGACACATTTTTTGGTGTGTATTGCTCGTGTGGGTGTGTGTTTAGGCTGTATGTGTAAAGGCTGAATCCTTTGGCCTTCTCTAGATGGTAGGTCAGGTTGGCGTCCACTGGTATGGCGACGACGCCACGACAAGGTTTATCGAGACCTGAGGCTCAGCAAGAGAACCTGCAGGGGCAGCAGCGCCAAGAGCGAAGTACTTGTCGAACACCGGGATGCGTCCGACGTTTTGCGGCGCAATATCGCCGCCATTTTATCCCCTGACACAATAAAATAGAAATATTAAATATATTGAAGTTAAATATATTGATAATTAAATATATTGCTTTTCTTTTTCTCACGTTCTGTTGCACTTGCAACTATTCGCTAGCTCGCTTTTCTTTTTACGTACAGTGCGCGGTCACTGGCTTTTCAGGACATCCAATTTTAGATTTAGTTACACACTATCGACGTGGTATTTATTTATTTATTTTTTTTTTTTATCGGAATTATACAAGAGCCGATATTTGTTCTTTTTCAACTTACATGGCAGGCTTGCTTTATTAATAGATAACTGCACGAAGCTATTTTGCCAATTATTAATGGCGCAAAGAAACTTTTCTTTATTAATAAGTGTAACAAGCTAGGTTATTCAGCATCTTGACTAATCTTCCCTTCTATTATCAAAGTTTTGTCGCTTAAGCTATATCATATATTCAGCACTTATAACTTTTAGCTCAACTTAGTAATGTAAAGCTTGCATCATTATATACAAAATTTATAAATTATTTCATTCATATTTCATTGTTTAAAAAGCATTGAAAATATTTCACAATTATTAAACTTTTCAATACATTTTATGTAAATATTTTGACAAGTTTTAATATTACAATTTAACATTGTATTTTATGAAATATTTAATTATATGGTAGAAGGCGAGATTGGATATAATTTTTTATATTATTTAAAAATTTATATTGAATATATTATTGGATAAATTTTTGTTGAAGCGCGTGTCATATTTATTTGGAAATTATTTCATTATGAATGAACATTTACATTTCTATATTAAATATCATCATAATGAAAATATATTAATAGAACGATAAAAATTCTAAATAAAATATTTAATGTAAATATTTTGTATAGGAAATGAAATTCTTAAAAAATAGTAATATCTATTCACAATCTATTCAAATGCAGTTATGGATTATTTTTTCCCAAATCCATATAGCGTGTAAGAACTCAAACTTATCTTCACATAAAGGTTGGCAATTATTCGTATTGTTCAACATTTTATCATCGGCGAATATTCGAGTGGATAAGGACTGGAGATTGTATATCTAGACTTGTATAGAAAAAACTATATTCCAAGAGAAATAGAGCATCGGAGAAATAAGTGGGTGTTGAAAATTTTTCCGATTGGTTTTGTACGTTAAGTATTTCTTTTGTTGTTATCGGTAAATGATAGTTAAACACGGACAATTTGAATTTCAATTCACCTGAATTCTGTAATGCGATTATGCTTTGAATTGCCTAACTTCTCGAGCTTTGTTGCCTCGACAATTCGAATTTTCAACGAGTTTTCACGTTCGGAGCTGTACAGCAATCTTCAGACAACCTTTCCTTTTTCCCTTTCATTTTTATTACGGGCACTTGACATTACTTTCGTTTTCTTTCTTTATCATTATAGTAACATTTTATATATCATTTTTTTTTCTTGCAATTACTTTACTATATTTATATATTTTTATTCCATACATATGAACTCTATTAAAACATTTATATTTTACTTCAGAATTATCTTTCAAACTACGTTAAAATATTTATCGCTATTTAACCAAGAATGCGATTATAAATATTTAAGTATCAAATCAATGATGGTGAATTTTATACTTTTATACGTGGAATATATGCTAATGCTTTTTACAAGAAAATTCTTCTTAAAAATCAAAATAATACGATTGCATTATAATCATATTTAGAATTATAATTAAATTTAAAAATTCAAGTTATCATATTTTGTGAAAATCTATTACATTAAGTTAACGAATGTATTTAAAAGGATAAACATAAAGTTAGGAATGTTTAGATTTAAAATGTATTGATTTCGAGTAAATGAAAATTATAAGTTATTTTATAATTTAAACATTTATCTGATTTTGATTTTTTTTTTTCCTTTTTTTTTTTTTTTTTTTTTTTTTTTTTTAAGTAATCAGTATTAAAAAGCAGTAATTTTTGTTTTCTATATTTAATTATCTGTATTTGTCTTTTGTCCGTTTTAAATTTATTTCGTTACATATTAATATCTCTATCTCTCTCTCTCTCTCTCTCTCTCTCTCTCTTTCTCTCTTCATCCTGATTCCGTCTCATTTAACCTCTCGATTTTCTGAACAACTCGAGAAATATCAGAGTTAGCTGATTCGCGAGATGGATTCGAGTGCTCGGTGAAAGGTTGCGGCGGGGGGAGGGAAGCGAAGAGGAAGCAGAAGAGCTCGGATTCAGGAAGTGCAAGTGTCGAGCTGCTCTTCATCATGCAGTAGGGCTTTAAAGCTAGCCTGTTCGGAAAATGGGATTTCGAAACTTTGTTTTCGGATGCCACAGATTGCTCCTTCATTTGTTATCCACAGTTTGATTATCAGCATTTAGAATTGATACGTTCGCAAAGATCAATTACAAATGTGCTTTCAGTCTATATTAATAAAGCGGTTGATTTGAATCAAATTTACGTTCAAGCTTATTATGTTTGGTTGGTCGATAAATAATGTGAGGCTATGGGAATAGAAATAATGGAAAAAGGGTGGAGGTTAGCGAGGTTACTTATAATGTGTGTGTGTGTGTGTGTGTGTGTGTGTGTGTGTGTGGGGGGGGGGGAAAAAAAAGAATAATCAAAGAAAGAAGAATTAAGCAGAAACATTTTGAGAAGTCTTTAGCGTCACTTAAGCCTTTTGTTCTCTTAATTATCTCTTCGAAAATTATTACAACTCATGTTTTCATTATAAATACAATTTAAATTTGTTATTATTACATTCAACTTTATATAAATAAAAACTGTTACTTAAATTGAGGAAGAGTTCATTTAGTATTTTATTCATAATAGTATTTTAAACTGCAAAAAATATTTAATTTAAAATAATCTTTTATGATTTCAGAATAACTAATTATTTAATCGGCAAACTATTCAATTATAATAAATTATAATAAAAAACTTTTGTTTTAATCTACTGAATTATAATAAATAATCGTTTAAATTATGAAAATATTATAAGATATAATTTATTAAAGAACATTTGTTCATGTATAATGAATTTATTTGAAAAAGTAATTAGCATCTTGAGGAACGAAATTATATTAATAAATACTCCATTGAATAGTATTAAATGATTTTTCTTGTCTAACGTAAAACACGAATTTTATTAGTGAATACATTTTAAAATAATACGGTTTATTATCATTGAGTGTAATATGAATTATTCTACAAATGTTTTTTAAGTAAAAATTTTTATAATTATAAGCTAAACATGATAAGATAATTCTATTCAATTTTTTTATACAATAATATATTCAATTTTAATACTATGTTGACAGATTAATATAGTACTACGGTAAACAATTGAACTCAAAATGAGTCTTAAAAAGGAAAATATTAAAAAAAAACTCTATATTTTACATTAAATGAAATAATTGTTGAATTTAATATAAGCGCTGTAGAATAAATAAATTCAAAAGCTTATTTTGTAAATTAATAAAAAGTTTGTATAAAAGTCTGGTTGAGACTTTAATATAATACTAATTTAATAAAAGTTTTATATTGCAAATTAAAAAGGGTATGTTAGTATTATTGTATACTTCATTATTACGTACTTGAACATAAAGTAATTGTCCTGAATATTATTAATAATTGAATATTGCTTGAAACTTATTCATAAAAAAATTGTTGTTTTCAATTACTCTTTTACCTAAAATAATATTAGAAAATATTCTCAAATCGTTACGAATAGCATGTTTATTTTCATTTTTTTTTTTTTAAATATCTCGAATTTTTAAAATATATTTATACGATTAATAAAGCAATAAAAAATATAATCATCTTTTTTATTTTTCGTTCAATATGTATTAACCGAAGTTTGGAATTTTTGAAAATACTTCTAATATTATGTTTTATGAAGCATTAAAAATAAACGAGATCGCAATTATGAAACTTGAAATAAATAATAGTATCTTTTTACCTATATTTTTTATATATGTTTATAAATATGTAATAAATAAGTATCTTTTGTTGAGTTTTAAACAAATCCATTTAACTACATGTTTTCGTCGAATATATATATATATATATATATATATGTTGTAAAGATAATGCGATGAATAGATTAATAGTCAAGCAGTGGTATCTGTATATTCTGTATAAATTATTTGCATTTATTATAAAATACAAAACTCAGCCGCTATAATTTAGCTGGTATCAGCTTTAATATTTATTATGTGTACAAGAAAATTGGTGAACCGTAATAAAAATCGTACTGCGATTAAATGCTGTAAGTGCTTAATCGGCATATAAAATGCAAAGGCAGTACATGGCGCTATTTTATTAATTGAAAACCGCAATTGAAAAGCTCATGGTGAGATTTTATTGCGTAATGTCCAATGCGTTAAATAATATATTTATCACTATTGTAAAAAGGATGTTTTATGTACGTTACGAAATTTAATTATACTCCTTTTTGATAGGCGTAGCCACGGATCGGCTTTGTGTATTCAAGGTGGTTGAACATGCGCATGCGCGATGGGCGAGGCCAAACGTATTTCCGCAGTACACAAGTTTTTAGGTGGTAATTTATTTATTTATTTATTCATTAATTTATTTATTATGTTTGTTTTCTTATAATTATATATGTGATTTATCCGGGTTCAATCGGTAAGATTAATTTTGAGATGTCAGCAACTTGCGTGCAATTTTAAGACGAGTATCTCTTAAAATATACCACACATTATTTAATATAAAATTATTTTTGGTTTTCTGAAATTTTTTTCTTTCATGATTTAAAGATTTTAGGAGATACGAATTATTGACTTTGGTACTGGTCTTTTGTCTCATTTATTAATTAATTTTTACATAATTATTCAATAATGACTTTCTGATAAGTAACGATTTAATAAAACAAAATTATTCAATGTAAAGACTTAATCGCGAAATAATCCGGGATTTGCTAAGTTGCAAGAGTTACCGTTAACACGTATAATAAAATGAATAAACCTAAACTGCAAATAGATATTCACATGAATGTAAATGAAAAGAAAATGTAATTTTACTCGAATTCAAGCCTCGATTGATTCAACCTTCAAGGTGTAAGATACGAAGAAGTTCGTTTTAAAAATAATTTGAGAATTGGGATGAATTTTTGGGCAATAAAGCTAAAATTCTTAATGGAGGAAAGACATAAAATGTAAGGAAAAAACATGGTGAACTATAACCAAAGTAGAATAGACTATTAATATGCGATACGAGGCTCTTTTACAGATCATGATTATTTGTAAATGGCATTAGTTCTTAAAGACTAACGAGTAATGCAGTATTAAAGACCAATTAGTTACGATTACGTATAGCATTATTGTAATTATAGTTAAGGCCTGTTTGAATGCAGCAGCTAATAAAAATATTCAACTTTCATTCTCATCATTCATACATAATATTTGAGATTTTCTGTGACGTATCATGTGAATAATTTTTGAAAAACAATCAATATCTTACAAATACTAAAAGTAGTAGTTTCAATTATGTAAATAGTTTTATTGAAAATATTTCCTTTTAATTTGAATAATAATAAAAATATACAATAACTCAAAATTTATAGAATATTATTTCTATGAACAGGGATAAATTTTTTTAATTGAAAATTTTAACACAAGAATATCAATTGCTTATGGAAATAAATAATTACATTTTTTGCTATAACATAAAATTTCCATTTATAATATTTTCAAATTTATTGCCATTTTTTGCTTATATAATACTTCTTGTGAATTATGCGACGAGTTCTTATAACATTTTTAATGATTAGCATTCTCGAATGTTTTGATAATTAACTTTTATAATATAGAAACATATCATTTTCAATTTTTCAAATAAGATAAGATGCCTTTTCCATAATCTAAAAAATATTATATTTTAATTAGTGTGTGCGTATGTGTGCGCGCCTGCGCGCGCGTGTGTAAGCATAATTGAAGAGTATAACATTTAATATTTTTCACTTCACTTTATGCGAACAGGTTTACAAGATAAAAATATGTAATTAAAGAAATAGTATAAATAAGACGTAATCCATGGGTTCATTGTTTAATTTTCTGTAATTATCTTACCTCCATTTTTACGGTCTTTTATTATATGCATTTGCAATTAATTATGATCATTATGAATAAATTATTATAAAACATAAGTGATACGAGAGACCGTATGGGCGTGCAAGAATATTATTTATATTTTACTTATAGAGTATTAATCATTCGTGTTAACTAACTAAGTTAAGAATAACTAACATGAATTTACGTTGATGACAAGTATATTTGATAATTTGGAGTCCGATATAAAATAGAAATTGTTTTTTGTAAAAACTATAAATAGAATTGGATATAAATATATTTATAATAAGTTAATGTAAAAATTTGTTTTATTTGTCCAACAGAAATGATAATAAAATTAAATCACTGTATATAATTTATGAACTTAATATATATTATTAATAAACAATATCATTAATAAATTCTTGTAATCTAGTAGCCTAATCATTTCTCTAGAAGATTTGCTAAAGTAATATTAAACTAATATTGAGAATATAATTCCATGTTTTAAAAGTTTTCACAGTTTTGCAATATAATAAATAAATAAATTGACACTTAAAAAGTGTTAATATGTAATCAGTATTCAATTCATAGAGTTAGAAGTAGAAATTTTTATTTGATTATGTTTTACAAATTATCGTTTGAATTAGACTAATTTAGTAATTTTGTATGTATTCAATTTACAAGTGATATTAGAAATTATCTTTAACTAACTTGTTATTTTTACATAATTAACGAGAAAATGATATTAGAACGTAATTGATATTTATTCAATTGTATTTAATTGATTTGATTTTTGAAATAAAATGTCGTTGCTCGAACAAAAATGTATTAATCATGTGTATAAATTGAGTTTCATTTTTTTTTTGTTTTTGTTTTTAAATAATATAATTAATAATTCTAAGTAACTTTGTTTATACAAATAATAGTGGCTTAATAGAAATAGGCATTTGATTTAATGTAATTTCATATAATAAGTACGAAAATTTTCTTACACAATACAATTTATTATTTATTTTTCAAATATTTTACTAAGCATATATTATATAATTTCATACAATTTAAAAAATAAATTTCTTTGGTGTTATGTAATTGAAATTCGTAACACTTGCTTTTCATTGTTCATTTTCTTTGATAGTAAATTTTTTGATTGTTATAATTTTGTCAGACTTTTTTGTAGTTGTGTTAATTTAATTTTTTCGTTTCTCTATTCTTTTTATTTCTTTCCATTCAAGTACCTTTGCATTTTATTTTTTCATGCTCATCTTTTTTAATATTCAACCATTTCTTAGGTAATAATTCTCCCTCTTTTTATCGTTGGTGCATGCTTTTTAAAATTTTTCTCAAACTACTACTGTCTGTATTTTTGCATAACACGATTTTCATGGCAAAGATTAATTTTGGAAAAAGAATAGTAATTGTTTTGGTGGTACTGTTGATATGAGTAACTACTGATGTATTTACGATCGCTAATGTGTTTACTTGTGTTCTCAAAGTTTCCTATTACGGCTATTAAACTTATAAAATTTTTACGGTATGTCGTTTCAATATACGCTTTATGATAAATAAATATTATATCTGCATACACGTGTATATATAAATTAGCGGCATAATTATTACATTATTTTCGATAAATTATATCAAGTGTTTCTATGTGCGAGAAATTCGACAAATGAAACAGAGAGACAGGGAGAACAAAAGAGAGAATAAAAAGAAAAGGATAGAAAGTGGAAGACTGAATGCTGATGGATGAGTTTAAGTTGGTGAGTGAAATATATCTTGTGATATGATATCCTAATCATCTAAGAAATTAAACAAAACATAGACATTTCCCTTATTTTGTTTTTTTTTTTAGCTTTTGCTTCTTGATTACCTACTTGATTCTTTTTAGTTTTTTTTTCTTTTTTTTTTATTCTTTTATACCTACACGCTTCTTTTTTAGTCTTTCGAATGAACAGAATAACTTATCTCCAGTGTAAATAAATTATTTTATAAAACGTACGAAAATTTTTAAAAACTTCCAATTATTGACTTTTCTGTGTGTGTGTGTGTGTGTGTGTGTGTGTGTGTGTGTGTTTATCATATTTTAATATTGACAAACTGTTGAAAAAGTCTTGATATCAATTAGCTATAAATAAAAAAATTTGAAAATTTTTCTCTTACGATATATGGGACTATTAATTTATACAAAAATATATTTTTAAATTTTAACAAGAAATATAGTATATACGCAATGCAATTTAGGGATTTAATGAATATTTTTCTTCGAATGTTGTACTATTGATTACATAATTTTTACGAATAAAAAACCGAACGCTTGTATAATATTACCAACGCAACTTATTATTATAATTAATGCATTTAATTAATCTCTATTCTACGTACTGAGCATTTTCAAGTTTCGCAAAAGTATATATCATACTATACACAATGATAAAATCGATAAGATGATTATACTTAACATTTTAATATTGTTAAGAAATTACTTCGTAAAATATTATTTTAATCTACGAAATATTAAAGCAATAAAATTAATTTGTGCATTTATCGACATTAAAGTAAATATAGATATGTAAATATGTAATTATCAAAAGCTTATTGAAAATTAACGATAAGCTTTGTTGTAGATGAGCAATATATATTATGATCAACATTTATTCAGTCAAAATTTGAATAAAAGATAAATTGTTGCGAAAAGAAATGTATTTGTAAGTTTTTTAATTGACTGATTTAAAGATCAATGGTAAAAGTTTTTCGATTTTACGAATGAAATTGAATTTGTTACAATTTCATATTATTCAAAATAAAGACAGATTAATCGTTTTAATTAAGCTTAAAATAAATAAAATAAATTATGAAATAAGCTCTCTTACATTATACTATGCACATACGGTTTATACATTACAAAACTATACATGAATAGTCGTATATTTGAAAATTTAAGTAACATTAAGTTATGATATTTTTTATATCCATATTATAAAACGGATGCAATTTGTTATTTATTTTTCTATAGCCGCTATCGTTGTCAATATATTTCCAGAATAATATTATTGATCGATATAAATATTTAATAACGTTGAAATAAAATGAGAAATGAAATATCCAATGGACAAACTTTCTATGCTTACTTGGCAATATTATTATCATTATCATCATTATCATCATTATCATTATCATCATCATTATCATCATCATTATCATCATCATCATCATTATCATCATCATCATCATTATCATCATCATCATCATTATCATCATCATCATCATTATCATCATCATCATCATTATCATCATCATCATCATTATCATCATCATCATCATCATCATCATCATCATCATTATCATCATCATAATAATAATAATAATTATTATTATTACTATTATTATATCCTTTTTTAATATGTATAATAGAAATAATAATTAAACTTCTCTTACGATATATAGAAATGGCATGAATATAGAAAACAAAAGGGAAAAGTGTATATTGGAACATAGAGATTATTAAAATAAAAATGAAAAAAGTCATAGTACTTGCCTTCTGTGACAAAAACGTATATTGATGCAGGCTTAGTGTTCGAAGCACTGCACGTGTAATTACCCGTGTCCGATTCTACTGCATGGCGAATAGTAAGTCGACTCTGTGTTGGTCCTGGATCGGTTTGTACGGTTACACTACCCCTCGTCGTGTCGTAGTTTATCATTCGGTTATTGTGATACCAGAAGACGTATTGAGGAGGCGTTGGACTCTGCAAAGTGAAAAAAGTCACGCGTTCATGTAAATTAGTTCTCTGCCAAAGGAATGTTATTTGTAGAGTATATAACTTAACCATTCGATTCGATTCTATTTGCTTTTTCGGTACAATGACTGAAACGAAGTAAGAATATATATCTCAAATATTGATAATATCATTATTATTATTGTTGTTGTTGTTGCTGTTATTGTTATTGTTATTGTTATTGTTGTTATTAATGTATAATTGTTATTTGTTTGTGTCCGTTAAAGTTGTCACTATTATTTTTATTACATTTTAGATATGCGTTGTAAACATTTAATCGATATAATATCGATATACTAATTAGTATAAAAAAATGTTTTTCAAGAAACTTGTACACGTAGATTAATGTTAAAATTTTTATATTATGAAAATATGTTGCATTAAATAGAAGAATTGTTTTGTGTGTGTGTGTGTGTGTGTGTGTGTGTGTGTGTGTGTGTGTATGTAATTCGCCAAGTAATTGACAGTGTACAGAATATATGCAGTAAATGGTTAACGGAGCGCATTCCGAATGTTCTCCGAAGCTCGGAAGGTTGCGGCAGTTGTGGTGAGGTCACGGAAGAAAGGTAAAAAAATTACCAGAAGTCGAGCACTTAAACATTTGGTATTGTGTGTACCTGACCACTATTGTTGATCGGTCGAACTTTTCGATTCTTCCTTGTAGCATTTTTTTTTGTTTAAACATGCAACGCATTACAAATTATATACAGAGATTGTTCGCTTCTCTTTCAATGACGCGTGCCATTTTTCACAGAATCCGTCGAGGGGAGGGAAGTACGGCGGCTGAACTTCCTGTCCGTTTCTTTTTAAAACTCCAGCATATTTCGACGGTACATATACGTCTGTGGCCCGGACAATGAACATCGTTAAGTCTGATAAATTGTTCGTATTCAGCTAGTGCTGCTACTTGACGGTCAATGTGAATTTTGATTAAAAAAAGAAATTGACTATCTCTCTTTGAGCTATACATTCCTCTTGTATTTTTTGTATCATCGACGCGGCGTTGCACGATTTAAACATAGTTAAGTCCTTTATATTAATACTCTTTAAATTAATTTATGGTCACTGTAAGGTAAAAACAATATAAAAAAATACAAAAATAACTACAGTGAAGTTACTATTATCTAATATTCTATTAAATTCACTGAAGCAATTAATTATTTGTCAATATTTACAATAATATTTACAATAATGAACAATTTTAGATACATAATTAGAGAATAATATTTAATTAGGTCAACCCGTCTTTTGTATTTATGTTGCATAAATAAATTTCTTTATAGTATATTTAGAAATAATAAATTTTATAAGACATTATTCTTAATAAAATTAAAGTATATGATATGATTTTATTTAGTTTATTCATATAATTATTTCGATAAATTTTTTAATTATCGTGATTAAATAGAAAATAAAATATAGATTCATATGTTGTTTATTTTATAGATGATTGTGAGTAATGTAATCAATTTGCAATATAAAAATTATTAATTTAATTAATTATTCATTATGTATTCCGATTATAAACAGTATTGAAAACAATTTTTATAATACATGACTTGCATATTAATATAATAACTCACACCCAATGAAGTAGTCATTTAGTTAAGTAATTAATTTTATCAATGCAAACTTCTTCGAGACTTTTTAATATATATAAATTATAGTTTCTATATAACAATTACAACAAATTCTATGAATCTCATTGATTTATTATATATATATATATATATTACATTTATAATTATTACATTAATTATTACATTAATTAATTATTATGAAATGACTTTGTTTTTAATTTAGTTAATAATATATTTCATATTATTGCTCTTTATAGAATAAAAGTGTACTTGTATGTGTATAATATAATTTAGGACATACAGGTAATAATACTTATATTAAGATAGATTCTATGAAGGGTATAATAAAATGAATAAATAATTTAAATACATAATATTTTATAATTATTTATCTTTCTTGGTCTATTTCTCTTATTAAATATGCTTCGCTAGTGTATGTATATTAATATATATCTTTCACTTTTTTCTTTAGTTTGAATAAAATTTTATGTCATTTACATATATTTTCTAGCTTTATATTGAAATTTTTATATAAATGAAAATTTTACAAAAGTAATAAAGAAAAACATTTAATTTTAATCTGAAGTTTAAACTAGTTATCGATTTAATCGATTCATTGTAAACATTTATTACTATTTCCATCAACTTGTTCTACCATAAAAACTTTTAAAATTTTTTAGCTATTCTGTACTAATAGTGAAGTTAATTCTATTATTCTTCAGTTTTATTGTTATTTTGGAAATGGTTGGAATAAATTATAATTTTACAATTTTTTTAAGAATAAAAAAAATTTAAGAATAAAATAAATTAATATGTTGCCTGTGTTTTATAGTTTATAATATATATATATATATATATACATAAGTTACGTATACATAATTCAATATTGATAATTTATTAAAAATGATCTAAGTAAGCGTTGATTAATAAATAAATAATTTTTATATATCGATTGTTCTGTAATACTTTTGAATTACTTTAAAGTAAAGTCGGTATCTATTTTATTCTAGTTGCGCTATCGTTTTAATTCTTTTATGAACTTTTTAAATAGTTTTCGTAAGTACCAACGAGTGCAACTGATTGTCTTGCTACTTTTTAACTTTACAAAACGTTCAATAGAATAGCGCACGCGCTTCGCATAGAAAAATATAAAACTTTCCGAAAAGTCTTGGTTATATAAATTACACGAACTATTTTTTCAAAATATTAAAAAAAAATTTCTTTTAACATATATTTTAAGTATTTGTAAGTCACGAATGGAATGAAAATTCCACTATTGCATTATTTTTGTATCAAACAAATTTTTTCATTGTGGTATTTTAGATCTTCGCATTTTCTCATTCTAAATACAATTTATAACAATTATTATAATATAAGAAAATAAATCTGTATAAGTGATAATCAAATAAGTATATAATAATTAGTTTAAAATGATTTAATACCTATTATAACAACGGTTCTAATTGAAATTTATGTAAATATATTATTATATATAAATATATATATATATATATATATATATTATTTATAAATATATAGAATTTTTATTATGTTTTAATATATTTATATGATTAATGCATATCATTTATTTTTATGTTATATGTGCATGCATTTCAGTATTTATATATACGAAATGTTTATACAATGGATAAATTAGAGTATGTAAAGCAAGCATAATATAATGTTTGTCATATAATTCGTCGACTACTAATAATATTAATAATACCAATAAAAATATTCAAAATTTAAAATTCAATATGCTACTCAACAATTATTGGCATAGTATACCTCTGGTCATAACCAAACTAATTATCTTATATTAAAGAGAAATACAATGCTGAAACATAAAAAAATTGCATAAATATTGATTGGTGTTATTTCAATGTTTATATTTGCGCTTTTTTCCTTATTATAATTTCTAAACACATTTTTCCAGACGAAATATGGAAATGTTGTATTAAATCAAATAAAATGTTTAAAATAAATAGATCCTAACAAGGCTATCAAATCCGTTTGGCCTATGACTTTAGCTCTTGTATTATATTTTCAATAGAGAAGCTCGTTACTTCAATTTATAATGGAAATTTGAACAATGTTTCCATTACTTTTATGTGCTTCTAATGTCAGACTTAAAAGCTTTGAGGGAAGCGCAATAAAGGTTGCTTAAATATATCAATCACATAGTAAATACGAAAAAATTATATTGTTTCATTTGGTATATTGTGGAATAGGAAATCCTAGCTGGATAGCTACTTCCATATTTCCAATTCTTGAATATCTAAGTTGACCCGAGATTAACAATTCTTCACTTGGTTTCTTCACACTTCACTTCTTTGCGTCCCTCTCTAATGCCTTGAACGCGAGTCGCTCGTATTATGTACTTTCGCTTTTCTTCTACGAGAGTCATTTTGTTTACGGTGATTATTTGCTCGAGATTTTTGAAAGCCGGTACTCCGGGATTATATCGGTACTTTTTTGTTAAATCTATTATGAATTGTTTTGAAAATTTCTCGCATCTTTTATTTTATTATTCCTTTCGGCGAGAATACGTTGTTCTGTTCCTCGAATGAATAAATTTAGAACGTATAAAATGAAATACTCTGATATTTATAATAAATGTCTGAAATTTATAATAATACATAGGCATGTATTAAATTGTATACATTTAAGTGGAAATATTTACTATGTGTATAAGAAACAAATTAAATAAATAATATTTCTAAATCATGTGTAAATGGAGAAATGTGTTAACTTAAATGGTTATAAAATGTCGATATATATAGAAATTTTCTAATAAAAATTATATTTTTTTATCTTTATGATTAAATAGATTATATAGCATTAAAAAATTGTTGTTAGGATTGTATACGAAATGCACATTATTATCAATATCTCTTTACAGATTAAGTCTATTTTCATCATCACATTAAGACATTTTTTTTAAAAAATGCGCATGTTTTATTAAAACATATAATATTGTCATATTTAAATGGCTCTTTTTAAATGGATCAGTTTATTGCATTCATTGAATAACTTGATCCACTTATGAATGAAGTCTATAAAATTATTTTGCTATATTTTTCTCATCTTCACAAGAAAAATTACTGTTTGAGAACGGTAAAAATTTTATGGATATATATAATTTTATATATACATATTTTATTATGTTCTGAGTCAATATTATCGTAATCAATTATATCGATGTTTGAAAATAAAGATTTATTGTTATAAATCTTGTTATTACTAACTATTTATGATATGTATGTAATAAAAAGATAATTTTTCGCTTTTGCTTAATGTATAATGATCAAAGTAATATTATTATATTTAGTATTCCTATTTGCAATATAATATTTAAAAAAATATGTTTTATAAAAAAAAATTTATTCTTATCAATATTAATTAATTACACAAAAATTTAAATTACATTTTAACAGATATATTATTAATAACAAACAGAATATTTATCAATAAATATTTATCGAATATTAATACGTATCTGGTTAGTGTTAAACTATTCTTTATTTATGCAATGTCAAGAATAATTTTTTTTTATTATAAAAATCTATATAATAAATTTTGTAATAAATATACATTTATTTACACCTTAACGTGCATATTATCATTGTGATTGTTTTATTTTGAATTTTTATTCTATTTAATTCTTTTTTAAAATGGATGAACCAATATATAAAGTAGCCAAAGTAAGTATAAAAGTTTATCATGTGAAACCTTTTCAACAAATTTTATCATATTCATACTTCTTTAAAGCAACGCATTGAGTGTAATTTATTTTGTAAGAGATACTAACGAATGTCTATAAAAGTTTATGATTCCTTTTTCTTTGTGTTGATGAGAAAAATAAGTTACCATATTAAGAAAGTACAATAGGGATTAAACTACCACACATATTTATTATTATCGAGAATAATTAATATCATTTGTGAAATAAAATTTATTTGCCTAGTAAAATTTTGTCTTTAAGATAACTAATCATCTGGTGTTTTTTTTAATTAATAACATCAATGATCGCTGGAGAAATAATTGATTTTTGGAATGTTATAAATCACCGAATTGTAAGGTCGAAAAATAAAATATTGATTTTTTTATCATGCACGCATTGATTATTTATTTGACAATTTATTTGTAATATCCAATATTGTATAAGTTAACTGTATAATTTTTTTAAGTATTTATATTAATTTATGAAAATTTATCATTTAAAATGCATTTATTAAAAATTTGTAGTATGTAAAGAATATATTGTGTTCAATATTTTTATACATAATTAATTTTTTATAAAAATTACCACATAAAAATATATTTATATATATATATATTTTTATTACATTATTTGTATTGAATATAAGTAATTTTTATGAAGGAATTTAAAGTCTTAGAAAATTTTCATTAATAGAAATGATATTATAATATAATAATGTATATTATATAAGTTCATCGTGATTTTAGAATTTGCTCAGATTTAAACATTTTTTATAATTTAATTATAAAAATAATTTTCTAGTATTATGTATATATATTTACTTATTATAGTATTATAGTATATTTATATACAAATAATATAGTAGCTTGAAAGTTCTATTGCAGAATACGCTACGCGATAATTACTATTTATTTGTCATAAAAATTCATTAAAGTAGTTTATATTTTAAAACTATTGATATACTTTTCATAATTAATCGATTTAAATATTCATTTATTGGTTGTTTTTTTATTGTTATAAAGTTATAAGTTCTACTAGGAGGATTTTTTATAATACTAACTTTTTTTTTAACAATTCTTTCAAATTAATCATTTAGGACAAGATTGTATTGAAAGAAGTTTTATGAATATTTATATATTGAATTAAATACATTATAAAAACGTCTGTATATTTTGATTATCGGTTTAGTCTATCACTTCTTGCATGCAAAATTGTGACTGAGCGTTGAGTCACACGGAAAGAAAAGCCGCGTATATTGGCTGAAGAGCAGGAAGAATTTTGTTTTGAGTCGTAATTCTGGAGGATATTGAATGCAGAAGTTGCTTGACTACAAGGAGGTAATGAGATGCAGCTTATTCTGATTTTATTAAATGTAATTGTAGCCTTACAATGCATAAATCCTAACCGTCTGAACACTTGAGGGTAGATGGAATTATAATTGGTACTCTTAAACTTTATTTGAGATATCAGTGAGAAAGCTCTCACTACCTAATTTAATCTAGTCATTACTGGTTGAACAAGAGCATATTATAGTTCTGCGTATCCATGAAATAGTTAAAACTTATTATTTAAGGTAATTTTTATCAATTTTTAAAGCATAAATTTAGTAATCCATTGTCAATGTATTTAAAATGAATATCTACCAAATTTATTATAAAATTCACTTATATTCGTATTCTATAATGGAATAGTATAAAATACAGTATGACAATAAAATTCTCATTAATTACAACTATAAGTAATATATTTCTGAATTTATATTTAATCTAAAAGCTTGCTTTATTTATTATAAAAACAATTGCATTGGGAAAATAATTAATATTCCAGGTATAGTTAAAAAAAATAGTATTTTGAAGTTGATGTTATTAGCGTAGTATTATTTTTTTAATCGTTATGTGTAAAGATACAATCACAAAATATTTTAATTACATTGTTTCACTTATTAATCTTCATTAATATTATGTATATATTGCTTATTTATTAAATTCATTGGATAAAGTATTCGTAATTAAACGACAAATCCATTAATTTCATAAAAATTTCATAAAGGAAACAAAATATTTATAAAATTTTAGCCAAACAGTTTTCATTTTTTATTCCATTAGAATAAGAATACATGAATAGTGAAGAAAGTTCGTGAATATCTCTTAGAAAGAACAAAATAATTGGATTATTTCTTAAAAAAACTTTTAAATAATTAAATTTATATGTAAGAATATTTAAATTAATTTTATACATTATATATAGACTCTTTTTATACTTGAATAAATAATATTTAATATATTTAAATTATTATTACAATACGTTCATATGTATATTGTAAATTATTGTATGTAAAATAGTAAAAATTATAATTAAGAAGTAATTTATTAATTTGAATATTTTACAAATATATATTATAAGTTAAAAAAATGAAAAATATTTCATGTAGCTATAAGTTACGAATGAAAATAAAATTCCTTTCTGAATTTAAATTAAGGGTGTGCAAAAAATAAAAGTTGTAACAAATCAACGCACATCCGACAATATATAACTCTACACACACACACACGCACATACACACGCACACACGCGCGCGCGCGCACGCACACAAGCACACAAACATACATACACGAACGCGCGCGTTCGTATAAATGCGTGCATACATAAACGTGTACATATGTGTAGGGTACCTGTTGGCGGCATGGGTAAGTTACGATTGAAAATTAATTAATGTTGAAAATAAAAACGTACCTTCCTTTAAAGTAATTGCAATTTATGCTTCTTCAATTTGCATTCAATCATGATGTATATGTGAGATATGTTACAGTGGTGTTAGTTAATGTTTATGGTAAATAATTGCGACATTAAAAATATATTTGAGTAAGGCAGATATGGCTTGTTTACTATTGTCGTTAAATATTTGTATAAATTTTAAAAATCCATATTGTTATACTTATAAATAACATCTGTTTTTAATTTTTGTACAATCTCATATTGGTATAACTAAAATTGTGTTAAGGCTGTATCGTCATTTTCTATTTCGTATAAATTAATTTGTAAACTTCCAAAGTATATCTTGAAATTTTATATAATAATTACAAGTTATTGCTTGATGAGCGCAAAAGATACTTATTGGTAATTACATTCGATTGTATTACGTGTTACGAATGTAAATGATTATGTTTTCGTATAAACATATAATCTACTGTTAAAATCTTCTTAACATAGATAACAATTGAAATATTATTAATTAAGATTCCAAGATTATTAAGATTTCAATTAATAAATAATAACAATATCATGTTTTTATATTTATTTTTATTATTATGTAAATTCTTCCTTAAGGATATTTCATTATAGTATCATGAACTAGTATCATGTAACTCAGTATCATGATATCTGAGATTGAAAATAGATATAATTAGTTTAGAATATAATTTACAAATGTAATTTAGTACTTAAATTATTATTTTTTAATTACTTTTTCATATTTTATCCTTATATTTAAATAAAAAGCTTTAATGCGAGGACCGCAATATATCATTAAAAATGTTTATATTAATTATACAATAATGAAAAGATATGAAAGACAAAACATGTTTTATAATTATTTTCATAGTCGTAAGTAATATGTTTGAATGATGAAGGTAAGGGAAGATTGAAATGTACATAAAGATACAGGCGAACAAGACAATGTAGTTAATTTTGAAGAATTTAGTCGCATTCATCAATGAACAATATTTATGACGATGTTTAATAGAGTTTGATCATCATCGTACTTATTTTAAAACATTTAGTAAAGTAGCTACTTTAAAATTTAATTTAGTGACAGCTTTTAGGGTTCCGATTCGATTTCCGATTAATTACCACTCTATTGACTATTTATTCCTTGTCTTCAATAATTTTCTTGATTTTATTTATATTTTAATTTATGAAGTAATGCATGAAACTGTCCTTAAGAGGTGATTTTTTTACCTTTTCTATAATACAGACTAGATTTATTATAGATCCTACGTCGACATGATGTTCTTCACTCCCTAATATAAATGCTTCGGGCGTAACTATGTTTAGATTGACAAAATGCGACAGTATTCCTGTACTCCTTGAAACCTGTAAAATAAATTTTAATCAATTAAAATATTTTTAGGAGAGTTCAAATATATATATTTAATTGCATTTTAATAGATAATATTGACTTTTTAACTAGATATTTTAAGTGTTACACATTATTCGCAGTAAGCATAATACAGAAATACAAATTATCTATAAAGACAGTATACCTGAACTATACGTTTGCAAAAAATTTTACTTTCTAAGTTTTATAAGGGACTCAATTCAATACATAAATTTTATTATTATTAAACCTATACATTTAAATTACGCATTATTTTCAATTACACATTAATATATAGTTTAAATAAATTAAATGATTTAAATGTATGTTAAATGCAGTATTATCTTGTTATTATATTTATTAAGAAAAATGTTTGTTATGAGTAATTTTTCTTAAATATTACTAGAAATCACATACTTCAGTTTATGATAAATCCTTAAATAGAAAAATTGAACGAAAAAAGGAAAAATATAATTATATTAAAATTTGTAGTGTTTATTATTTATTTAATTATATCCTTTTTTATCTTTTATGATCTTTATGGTTATCTGATTTATTAGGGCGAGAGAAGAATAAAATTATTCTGAAATATAACTATAACAATAAAATGAATTAAAAATATGTTTAAAATTTTTAATTTTCAATTCAAATACAGCCAATATTAATAAATATTGATGTAATAAAAATTAATTTGATTATCGTTACATATTATAAATAATATTTTAATTTACATTTGTATGTACATTTTTTATTATAAGTATGTGCGCAATTTATTCACGTACAATGTATTTTTCCTATAATGAAATTGTATTCGTACAAAAAAGCTCTAAGTAATGATGCCAATTAATATTTTAATTTTATTATATTAAATGTATTTGTATTTGATTATGTTATAAAGGAAATTATGAATAATATAAGAAGAAATTACTTAAATTTTGTAAATATTTAAATTCATAGAATATATTTTCTTTCAAAAAATTGTATGTCTAAGATTTTCAATAAATTATATTATTACAAAATATGATAAAGAAGACGATAATATTTGATCGATGATAAAAGAAAAATTTATTTATCCGTTAGAATACGATTTTATCTTAATTATTTAGTAACCGAAATTGACATTATTTATTAATCATTATTTCTTAATTCATAAAATGATATGTTTATTAATTAAAATTTTTAATTTTCATTCAACTTTTTAACATTTTTATATTTTCGAGTTAAAAGTTTATATATTTTTTATCATGTACATTAATATTTTTAATTATATTTAGCCTGATCTTAAGGTTAACATTGCATCTCAAAATGATAAATATGTTTAGATGTTAAATAAATCTCGTATGTTAATAAAAATTTTGAAACAGTAAGTTTTTTCATTATCTAATAATCTACTAATCTAATGTTTTTGAAATAATAGTTTTTTTTTTACAATCATATTTTTAAAACTATCAAGCATTTTTAATATAATAAATTAGACATATAGCAATATCATTTATTTAATTACGTAATATATTCTATTATAATTTCAACTAAAATAATTTCAACATCGTGGATTTTCATATATAATTAATTACCTTTGTGAATATAATAAAATTCATATAGTTTATGTAAATTATATTATACATAAAATTTTTTTTGCTTATTATAGATAATACATTTTTATTTTTCAGTATATTAAAATATCCGAGTTTATTCTAGAAATTTATTTGTGTCTTTTAAGTATATAGAATAATCAATATTGTACAAAAACCATTGCATATTCTCTTTTTCTTCTGAGAAAGTTTTTAACGTCAATATATCAGAAAAAATATTCATGTTTGCTGTTCATGAAATCATTGATTGTTTATATGAACAAATAAATTATAATGCTTTATACAAAATATTCTATTATTGAATTTATCCTACAAGATATTTATATGAAAATATTGTAAATTAAATTCCGTATGAGATTTATATAATATAAATTTATTATTATTAATACATGAATAATCTGCCTCGCATACAAAATTTGGGATCATTAATTTTTTCAGATTACTTGGGCCCTTTTTTATTTAAGAGATTCGTGTATCATAATTCGAGGATGAATTTGTATATATTTGAAATATTTTTATGCAATATCTTTATAGTAAATCCAATTTATGAATAATAATAATATACTTCAGGTGTAAAACATTAAATATAGGTTATTTAATATCGATATTGCGACTTTTGTAAAACAAATAATTATATAACTATTAATGTTATTATATTGAATAATTATGAGTAATGTTATAATTATTACAACCAAGGCAATTTTAATAAAATGCTTATAGTTTAATTCGTCAGAATTTTAAATGAAAAATATAAATATAAAATTATATTTAAAAAATTTTTTTTTTATAACAATACCCAGGTTTAGATCTTAATAATTAATTCTAAATTGAGTTCATAAAATCTACATGATAAAGAAAATATTCTTTATAGCAAAAAATTATTTCTTTAAATTAATAAAAATATTATTAATAAAAATCTTATAAAGAAAATTTATATTTTTGTTAGATATCAATTTAAATTTTCACTCATTTTATTTGTCTTTCTTCGTATTATATTTTTAGAGATAGTATATATATGCTTTAAGTTAGTTTTATCGTTATCTTCTTCCAATTTATTATTTCGTATCTTTATTTAATACTTAATATTATGCTATTTTGGCATTGCATCAATCTTTAGTTTATGTATCGATATTTTTTTCCAGTAAAATTTTCACTATAGATATGAAATTTTGCTACTTAAAAACAAGTTATAACATTCTGATGTTCTATTAAGTTTATATACGAAGTAGTTTTTTCATTTAATCAGTTGTTCTTAAAATACGTTCTGTGAAAATGATATTATCTATTGATTCGGATTAATTTATAAATATCTATTAGTAAAAATTATTTCACGTACTCTTTCATTAGTAAAATAAATATTGTGCTTCAAATTCTGAATAATGTAGGTAAAAGTGAAAATTGTTCTTACACATACTATTTAGATTGTATAAGATTTAATGTTTTATAAAAACAATGATTAAAGCATAAAAACGATAAAGTATATAAACGATGGCTTGTTAAAATTCAGAATCCTAATGAAAAAACAGAATCAGAATGTGACATTAAAATTATCAATTCCTGTTAGATGACCATAAAAAGAATTTAAACAGTGTTTATAAAATTTAATTTTATAACTTTTGCTAGAAATTTATTTCTATTTTTGAGGTTGGTGGTTAAACATATGTATTTCAATAGTTTAAAATATCTTTAAAATCTGTGAACAAAGATGGATAATAGAGGGGGGGGGGATTGTAATGTGGCAAGTTATTAAGTTATTTATAGATTGACATTAGCATTGCGCTATAAATTAATATCTATTAATTTATTGTGGATAAAAGATCTTCGTATAGTTGCTTTTGTTCAAAATCAATAAATATATAGGTAAAAAGTTAAGACATTTAGAAAATTTTATTCTTTCTTATTACCTGGCTCTTTTACGACCAAATTGGTTTATTCATTAATCTTCAAGTATCTTTCCATAGCAAATAAATTTATTAATTTTTTGCGATTTTTCTATCAATTCTTTTCTATTATTATATTATTTTGATTACAATTTTGTACTCTTTTCTTCATTGGACAACTTTCATACAAATAATTATTTTATCTAACGGTATTATAAATTAATTTGTTTAATGTTATATATTTATATATATATATACATAAACAAGTATGAATAAACGAAATAATATTTTATTAATTTTCAATATTAGCATAGATTGTATGCAGTTACGGCTTTATATGTAATTGAAGTAGAAGATATAATTTTATTTATCTACATTCTAAAACTGCTCATTTTATAAAGTTAATTTTAACTTTTTGAAATAAAATCACATATATAATAATAAAATAACACGATTAAACGTTCTCTTATTAATTAATAATAATTATACTACTTATTTTTAAATTTAATATAAATATAAATTATAAGATACTATATAACATAACATAAAAATTGTATTTTCTTGAATATTTTTGCCAAAACTAAAAGAGAATGAATAATAATTATATTTTACTCATTATGCAACATTATTTCTGAAGTAACATACTTTTTACATAACTATGTGACGATGAAATATAAATTATAAACTATTTATAAAATAATTTTATAATTTAAAAATATGTTTTAATTATTTATTAACTATTTTCGTTAATATTGTTTCGATTATAAATAGACGTATTATATACATTGGTGAATTTTATGTAGAAGAAAAATAATTTGTTCATCAATAAACATTGCATTTATCTATTCTCATTAAGTAAATGTTAACTGTATGAATGTACATAAATTTTATTTAGAAATAATAGGTCTGTTTTTATCCAAAACTTATTTGAATATAGAACATATGAAATTCTACAGTAAATACCGTTTTTTTTTATTTGAAACAAAGACAATATTGTTTTGAAATTTAAATACGCTAGCAACGGCAAGTATAATTTATTTTATGATAGTAAATAAAATTTGCTCAAGCTAAATTTAATTTATTTATAGAACTTATTTTCTTTCGGTAATGCACATATTTATTAAGAATAAAATTCAAATAAAAATCTGCTATATTGTGTTTAGGTCTACCATTTGTATTGAAAAATATTCTTTTTACCGAGTATCCATTTAAATTTTGAACCGAGTATTAAAAAAAAAGACAGAAGTAATTAATAGAACGAAAAGAAAAAAAATATTACACGCCAAATTTTCAATTTTCAGTCGTAACAAATGTAAGGAAACAGTCGCCGTAGAGCTCGAAGTAGTATTGAGAAGGACTAGGTCAGGCAGCGGGCACAGTGATACGAGTACGTAATAGAAGCGACTGGCGGACTTCTCTGTTCTTGTTACGCATTTATAGTCCTGGAGTAGAGAGACAGTGAATATACAATATTGTTCATTTATGATCAAGATATTTGAATCAAGGAATTAATAAATAATCGAA